TAAAATCCTCCTGGCTACAGATTCGGCATCCCCCATCTCCAAACCCGCTTCACTGTTTGCTCAGCTGCTTCCCCGCAGCCGTACCCAGAGCGGGAGTTAAATAAATATTGCAACGCAACGGGCGCCGTTTCATTCTTAAATCGGGTTGCGACAGATACTTTCAGCACGAAGCCAGAGCGCCCCGAAAGCGTCGTTTCGGGCTGGAAGCAAAAGAAGGAGGGTTTCAACTCACGGAGAGTCGTCTCCACGAGCTTGGGAGCGTCACTAAGAGACTTCAGGCTTGGATTTAAATACAAAAGCCGTCCACCGATGGCTATCTCCACGTGATCCGTTGTGCATGCTTTGCTTACACAACAGGTTGCTGGGCCGGGGTTTTTAAGCTTCCTAAATTTACCTTTTTTCTTGGCATTGTCCCCCAAAGACACGACTCGTAAGGAAATACGGAGCACGCGAGTTTAAATCCAGGAGCGCGGCTTAAGGGGGTGTTTGAGCTCTTGCTCTTGTGCAGGTCACGCTCGCCCTCCGCCTCATCCCACGTGTCCGTCCTCAACCTTATCCGGGTTTAAATACAACGCTGAAGCAGACCAGAATTAAGCTCTAATTCAACTACTTTTACCTAGAAGGACAATTCCCGACCCGATTTCTCCCACCAAACACCCACCGGTGTTTCAAGGCAGCTGGAGATGGGCACAGCAAGGGGCAGGAGATGTTCCCAGCCCCGGGCCAACATCACACGCTGAAAAAACTTGAGTGACGTTGCCTGAACCGATAAGCGAGATTGTATTTCAAGATGTGACCCATTTTTCTTCCCCCCCTCCCCCCTAAAACTTCACATTGGGGACATTCGATATCAGATCTGCCGTGTTAAGAACTGCATTAACCTCTTCTCCGATGAGCGGTTGTTACTGAAGGGTGGCCGCACTCTTTCTTCACCGAAACGCTTTCCACCCTTTGTAACTGCAAAATACACGAGCCCTAGTTTTTAAAACGGCGGTGCTATCTGTAACGGCTCGTGCCAGTGAATTTTGGGCACCGGGAGACCTAAAAATTGCCAAGCGATAGTCACAGTCAGCAGGAGCATCCAGCCACTGGCAGCAGAAACTCAGCTGAGCCCTCCAAAACGCCTCTCCTTGGCATCAGCCGCCACCCTGGGCCAGTAGCTATTCATCCTCCAAGGTTTGCCATGCCAAGAAAGAAGAGATTGGGTTTGTTCGTATTTTAATTTGTGTTCGGTACGCTCAAGACTCGTTCCAAATTGTGGCCAGGCACGTGGAGCAGTCTGGAGAGCCGGGATCACAGGCTCTTTCATATTTCAATTAAAAACAGATCGCTTCTCGCTGCAGGGATGTACCTAACGTAGGATCAGGCTGAGCGGAACCTACCGAGAAGCTGCTTCAAGGACTTCCAAGACGCTGCCAGAAGCGCCAGGGGCCAGTAGGTGGTTGTTTTTTCCTAATGCGCGAGCAAGTTTTTAGTCTTTGGGGGAAGGGTACGTTGCAAAGTTTTTGGTGCGGACTCAGTTTTTTGGAGCTTTGCAGGGGAAACCTGGCAGCTGTTTGGGACGGGCTCTGCTCTGGAACCGATGATCCCGGGTGAATAATTTGGAGCTCCACTGACAGAAGGGGACCAGCTCAGACCCAAATCCATTTGGGAAGGAGCATTTACGCTCCCCTCACAGTAACATAACACCTACAGAAAATAAGCAGCCGAGGGATGAACACAGCTCCCCGCCCGGACCAGAGGTCGCATCCTGCCTTCTGCGTGGCTGAGCACTGCCAGCATGGACCGGTACCAGCGACCACGCTCTTCTCCTTCCCTCCAGCCACGCTCTGCCCTGTGATTTGCGAAGCTTTAGGGGTTTCCCCTGACGGAAACCTCGTTCCTAAACATGACGCTTTTTAAATGACAAAGCCCGAACGTCCAAAGCACAGCTCCCCGGTGGGATGCGTCCCCTCCATCCACCCCTCGAGAGACCGCACTTGCCCGGCTCTTTCATCTGCCGGCATCTCCATCCGTCTGCCCCAATCCAGCATCAGATTTCACAGGACGCAGAGCGTCAACGATGGAGACGGATAAATCAACACCAGGTTACGCCGATTAAACCCTTGCCTGTAAATCCC